AGATAGGGTTGGATGAGCCTGTCCTGACCAGAGGCCTCCATAACCTGCCAGGTATGTGCTGGATCATGAGGCAATGAAGTATCTCCAGACATCCAGTGTGCTGGTTTCAGGCCTGCAGGGGCTAGGTGTGGAGATTGCCAAGAACATCATCCTCTGTGGGGTCAAGGCTGTCACCTTACATGACCAGGGCAATGCCCAGTGGGCTGACATATCCTCCCAGGTAACCTGTGGCCCCTTTTGCTTTTCCAAGGAACCAGTCTGCCAGAGCTCTGCATTCACTTATGTTCTCTCTTCCTACATCCTCTGGTAGATCCACCTGCGAGAGGAGGACATTGGTAAAAACCGAGCTGAAGTATCACAGTCACGCCTCACAGAACTCAATAGCTATGTGCGTGTCCTCGCCTACATAGGACCCTTGGTTGAGGACTTTCTTAGTGATTTCCAGGTACTTTGGGGCATTACCCCCCCGACCTCCTGCCTCATTTTTTCAAGTCTTATCTCTGGATTGTTTGTTTGTTTAACATTGATTTAATGGCAGGCCCTTTGTGTCACATTTCATGCTGGAGGGCTAAGGAATGCAGCAGGAATTACACTCTGGACCTATCCTTGGGGGGTCTCTTTCCTTTTCACGAGGGAAGATGTGGCTATACACTGTGGTATAGTGATTGTGAACAATGACCTTGAGCTGAATTGTACCAGCTTCTTATGAGTCTTGATATCTTTTAATGGTATGACTATAAACAAGTCACTTAATCTCTGCTTTAATTACTGTCTCTAGAAAAGGAACAATAGCACTGTCAACCTCACAGAGGTTTTCTGAAGGCTAAGCTTAGACTAGTAGCTGGAGAGCATCATATAGGTGTATTTAATAAACTGTATCGGAAGGAGGAGCAGTGAGTACTGATGATCTGTGTTCAGGTGTCCCAGAGGAGAAGGGTACTGAAACTCCTGAAATAAGCATAACAACTTTTAAGTCAATGAATAGGGGGGAAAAAAAATAAGAGAAATCCCTAACACCGCGGCTGAACAGGCTTTTTTCCTGAGATTTAAAGCCAGCGAATGTGATGAGGACCAATAGAGGCTTTGAATGGGCACACTGTTATTCATCTTTTTGTTTCTCAGGTCACCAGAGGGCAGGCAGCAGTTCGTCTGACACACAAATGTTTGTCAAATAAATGGATTCAGTGGTCTTCAAACTCTTTCTTCCCTGTATCCCTTTATCTGACACGCATAGATGCTTTACAGGTGTTTGTAAATGAGGGCCAAACCAGCAAAGCCTAGATGAAGCTACCCAGTCCATCCCCTCCCTTTAGCCTTTATCTTCTGTTATCTCACTTCACTGTATTTCGGTACCAGGCCCTCAGCCCAGGTCTATGGCTCTTCATAGGTGGTGGGCCTTACCAGTACTCCCTTGAAGAGCCAGCTGCAAGTGGGTGAGATTTGTCACAGCCATGGAATCAAGCTGGTGGTGGCAGACACCAGGGGCATCTTTGGGTAAGTGCCCGTGTCTTCCTTCCTCCCGCAACCCCTGCCAAACTCAGGCCAGGAGGTTCCCACTGCACTTGTGTTACAGTCAGTCACCTGAATTCTAAATTCTGCATTTTTGCTCTCCCTGTTTGACCTGAGTGCCATATGATTCCTGCTATTGATAAGCTGAGCTTGCTTTGCAAGAGTTCATTGTACCTTGAGGGAAAAGAGAGTACCTGTGTATATGGACCTGAGGCACCAGTTCTGTTACTCCCCTCTGCAGGCAACTCTTCTGTGACTTTGGATAAGACATGATTCTCAGAGATTCCAATGGGGAGCAGCCACTCAGTGCTATGGTTTCTTTGATCACCAAGGTAAAGAGGCCCTCTAGGAATTCAGGGAAACACTGGTGAGCAACAATAGTTTTGCCTATCTACTGGCACACTGGCCTTTCTCTAAAAGTCTACTCCACTTCCAACTAGGACAGCCCTGGTGTGGTCACCTGCCTGGATGAGGCCTGGCATGGGTTTGAGAGCAGCGACTTTGTCTCCTTCAGAGAAGTCCAGGGCATGAGTGAACTCAATGACATCCACCCCATAGAGATAAAAGTCCTAGGCATGTCAAGGCTGGGGATGAGAAATGATTGCCTGAAACAATGGGAAAGTTGTGTCTCATGGGAGTTTACCCAGAGGCCAAGAGATAACACTTATCCATAGTCTAAATTGAACTGAAGGCCAAAAAGAGAACTCTGGAGT